ATGCACTTTTCTTATCATTTATCTTTGAAAGGTATGAGCTTGCCTCGGGTGAAAGCTATTTCCGTCAAGGTGATCTTGGGCGGGCTCTCAAAAAATTTTTGGCAGTGGAGAAGCATTATGCTGATATTACTGAAGATCAGTTTGATTTCCATTCATACTGCTTAAGAAAAATGACTTTGCGAACTTATGTGGAAATGCTTGCATTTCAAGACAGACTGCACTCACATGACTACTTTCATAAAGCAGCCGCTGGAGCTATCAGGTGAATAAATTGTTGTTTTGCTTTGCTTTGTTCTTTTTTTTTAATAAGTACATTGCACGAGTTGTTAGGTTTGGCAGTATTCTGTGACGTGTGTTGGAGAATAGACGTCTCACATCTGAAAGTCTTGAGAAATATGAAAGCTATATAAATTTGAGGCAATCCTAACCTGGCAGCTTCTGCTATTTTAGTGATTTGGATGAGCCCATGTGCAAACCCTTGTGAAAAATTAACATGGTAAAGGCCTAACTGCTGTAAGATACAAAACCTGTAAAAGAAAGAGAATTGTAGGACTTGAGTCCTCTAGGTTCAAGAATACAAGTCCAGACAGTGAAGAAAAAGGAACGCAAGCCCAGGCAAAATAAAATTGGACCCAGACAATAATTGGACTAAAAAAAATGTAGGACCTGAGGCCTCTTGGGTTCAAGAGTGCAAGCCTACTCTGAATAAAATTGGGCCCAAATGATAACTGGACTCAGAGAAGGAGTGTAGTCCAGTTACATTTGAGGAGTGTAGGAGAATACGAGTCCCACATCTAAAAGCCATGAGACATATGAAAGCTATACAAGCTTGAGGCAATCCTAACCAAGTAGCCTAAAGCTAGTTAGGTCATGTGGATGAGCCCAAGCACAAACCCATACAAATCATTAACAATTTGTTATTTGTCTAGCAAAGTCAAAAGCTCTTCATTCCTTCTATGTTTGAGATGCAAATTCTTCTGCTCCCACTCCCATTGTGAGGCTGAGCGGGATGTTATAGTTTTGTCACAAATTTCATTAAAGAGTTAATTTGTGACTGCCATAACAGTTCAGCCTAAATGAAAGTCCTGCTTTTATGAGCTGCAGATGTTATATAAAATTGTATGATTCTCCTCCAAAGTCTGCAGCTGAGGAGGATGAAGATATGTCCAAGTTGCTTCCATCTCAGAAAAAGAAGATGAGGCAAAAACAGAGAAAAGGCAGAAGCGCGAGCTAAGAAAGTATTGTCTTTTCTATAGCTTCTGCTGAACTTATTGTTGGAACCCCGCTTACCTATTGATTTATTTTCCTTTTAGGAGGCAGAAGGAAGGAATGAAGAGTCAAGCACCAGTGGTGTATCAAAATCTGGAAAGCGGCATGTAAAACCTGTTGATCCGGATCCACGGGGTGAAAAGTTGTTGCAGGTTGATTTCCATTGCTTGTAGTGCCCACTGAGATTCACATTTTCATATGATGTCTGTTTTGGCTTAGACCTATTTTAAAGCTACTTTCCCGTCTCATTTGTATCTTGTTTGCACTTAGATTGAAGATCCCCTGTCGGAAGCAACAAAATACTTGAAGTTGCTGCAGAAGAACTCGTCTGATTCATTGGAGACACACTTTCTTGCATTTGAATTATATATGAGAAAGCAGAAGATTTTACTTGCCTTTCAGGTTCGTTTTAAAAAGGAACTCAACTTTATCAGTCATTTTATCCTATTTACCCTTAATAGGCTTGTAATACTTGACCTGTATTAAAAGTTGAGATTGTCTTGCTATTTTAAGCACATTACAAGGGTTTGGGGGAGCTCTATTTCTTTTTTTTTTTAAATGATTCATAAATTTTAAATCCATCATGGAATGAATTTAAACATTGACAAAACCAAATTTCAATTTTGTTAATTTTAGCTCATATGGTATGCTGATATCATGCTTCCTCTACCATTGTACAATTTGATGCTAGTTCATTGACTTGTAGGCTGTGAAGCAGTTGCTGAGATTGGATGCTGAACACCCTGATTCTCATCGTTGCTTGGTATGTTATTTCTTCTTAAGTTAGTGGGTTAATGAAGCTTACATTTTCAATGTATAATATATGAAAATAATAAAAATGTCGAAATATTTGATCATCTGGGCTTCAATCTATGTTGTTATTGTACTTGTCACATATTTGTTTGTACATGTCTAGTCTATCTATTGTTATATGCATGATGAATCACATGTAAAGAATATGACATTATGAATATGATATCAAAAAAAGTATTCCTCCATATTTGTCACCAGGTCCTCCCCCCTTTTTTCTTTTTTCCTGTTTTGCAATTCTCTGCTATGTCTTCATTGTGTTTTCCTGTGACAATTTCTGTTTCTATCAACTACCTGAAGAAAAAAATTGTCGTTTATCTGCTGTCTGTTGCAGATTAAATTTTTCCATAAAGTGGGGTCCATGAATGCTCCCGTGACTGACAGTGAGAAACTCATATGGAGTGTTTTAGAAGCTGAACGCCCTACCATTAGGTTCTCATGTTTACTTTTTTCTTTTTCATATTTACGTGGCTAATGTATACAATAATCTTGATCCTGTTGAGATTAGATCTAACTCTTGTTCATTCCTTTTGCACAGTCAATTGCATGAGAAATCTCTCTTCGAGGCAAACAACTCTTTCCTTGAAAAACATGAAGGTCGTAGTCAATGCTATTGTTACAAGTTCATGCCTTATATTATTTGAGTTCCTAGTGCTAATAGGACAAGCAATGCTAGCATGAGTAGCGTGTACTATGCTGTCTCTTGTTGTTCAGAAGGCTGCCTAATTAAGTCAGTATCTTGTGAATTTTTCAAAGTCATCTCTCTATTTCTTTGTAATAATCAGCTTTTGTTGGTGGCTAATGTGGCTCAAGCTTGATTACAATGTTGTCTTATTAGATGGCTCTCTTATTTGCAGATTCTTTGATGCATAGAGCTGCTTTTGCGGAAATGTTGTACATTTTGGATCCCAACAGAAAGAAAGAGGCTGTAGAGTTGATTGAAGTCTTAACCAATGATCTAGTACCAAGGTACTTGCTTTTTATTTCCCATTTGTTTTTTTCTGTTTTTTTTAATCTATGTAATGCTATTTTATGAAACTTGCAATAATTTTCCCTGCCCAGAAATGGAGCCCTGGGACCAGTCAAGGAGTGGAAACTTAAAGACTGTGTTGCAGTTCATAAACTTCTTGAAACAGTCCTTGATGAGCAGGATACTGCATCGAGTGAGTATAAAATTTTAACCTAATTTTGAGGTTTTCGTTTTGCTAAACATTCAACTGAACAATGCACCTGCATACCTATATTCGGTGACACCCAACTTGAAGTGACACCAATTCAGGTGCCGGCATAATTGCTGAATTTAATTTGTGTTCTTCAGTTAGCCAAATTTTTAGAGATTTGATGTGGTAGTTTTAAAATTTCCTTAACTTGTAGGCTGTTTCTCTGTTTTCATTCTCTCTTCTCTGTATTTCTTACCTTGTATCAATGTAATGGATTTAAAATTTCCTTAACTTGTATCAATGTTTTAATGGTAGATTAAAAGTTGCATAACCAGAACTTTTGCTTATCTTGGTGCTCTTATTAGATAATTAAGCACTTAAATCTCATGGTTTTCATTCTCATTGCTCTAGAAGTAGGAACTATCTTTTTAAGTATTACCTGTTAATGATATAACTTCATAATGGATTTTTATGTATCAATGGAAATGATATGATTTGCTTCTGGTACTAAGATTTGTGCTCACTATTGCAGGATGGAAAACATGTTGTGCAAAGTGTTTTCCCTATTCTACATATTTTGAGGGCAGCCGTAGCTCTGCCTGTCCTAACTCGATCTTGAATCAGATATGTAAGAATGCTGAAAATGGGAGTCCTAACCTTTCAGTGGGTGCTCAAAATGCAAACTCCATTACATCAAATGGGAATTTAGAGGCATTTAGTAAACTCACCATTGACAAAGTTGAATACGTATATTGGAGCAAACAGAATTTCTTGTCACTTGGTTGGTCATGGAAACCAGGCTAGTTTGACATTTCTCTGAATAGACCCAAGTTGCAATTTGTGACTATAGGTCATACTGAGTTTTGTAGCAAAGCCATGGCAAGTTCTGCGAGCAAGTTACTCGTTCTCAACTAAGTTATGTCTTTTGCAAATGTGTATAATCTTACGTCAATTATGCTCTAGGGTGAATTTTTCATTTGTTCACCCCATTTTCCAGAGAAATGGTACAGGGCTCCAAGGATTTGCACCATCTTCCAATATTGTCATTTAACTATTGGGGAGAGAGCTACGGGAATTTTTTCAGGTTTCTGGTTCTGGATCCAGCCAACAGCACATACGTACACCGAGCCTGTTGTACCATGCTTATTTTGTTAGCGTATTCAATCATGTATAAACAATGAACTCGGAAAATTTTGCATCAAAATCAACTTTTTTGACCGAGCTTTAGCTTCTGATGAATTTTAGTCAAGTTTTATGTTCTTGCAATTGTATTGTAGTCATCTGTTGGAAACTATTGAGAGGGAACTGATTGATAAATGACTTAGATAAACATCCATTGAGGAGATATTTATTGTGCGGAGTTTTTTAGACGTCATGCGCCTAGCTAAGCTTCCTATGTTGTAATTATTTTTGCTATTGCTCTTAAGAGGATCATATATATAGGGCAGTTGTGTTCTGTCAGTCTGTTATCCGTGTTTCGTTTGGCTAGTGCTTGATGCTTATGTTTATTGTTTACAATGATTTTTATGATATCACAAGTAGCATGCTGCGATTAATTGGCATCATCTTAGTCATGAAGTGAAATCTAGCTGTTGATTTTTTTAATGCTGAACTCTTAGTAGTAATATTTAACATTAATTTAGAAAATCAGCTCCTCTTTGAATCCACTTACGATCTGTAGTATTGTTTTTCCTTCTGTGAAAGCATAGAAAAGTATCGCTAAGAAGAATTGTCGGAATACTTAAAAAAAGCTCAAAAGGCTTTTAAATTCAATGAAAATAAGCATTACCATTAAAATTGCTACATATATACATAACAAGAACCACTAATTGAAAAAAAATCAGAAGGTGCAAGCAGCCTATTTTTACAGAACAATGCTTAACAAGAATGTCAAAACGGAGCGAAATCAGCAAAAGGAGGTAGGTGAAGCACATTCTTAACTTCCATACATGAATAAGAAACACCATATGCTTGTGGAACATAGCCATCAGTGCGTCTGGCTTCAGCTCTCACGTCACATACATCACTCGAAAAGCATAAAGCAGCAAATTCCATATGTTCGGTGTAAATCTTGAAAGATCCAACTTCAGCTACCAAGCCTTGCAGACAACTTCTGAATCACTCGACACACATCCTCATTAAAAACTAACTGGATTCCCCGGCTGAAGGAGGCTCCCCACTAATCTTACCAGCATCACTTTTACAAAGAGGACACGATTGCGTTTATCTTCAACCATTTATCAAACACAGTCTACGTGAAAGAAATGAAGACAGGGTAGCTCCCTAAGATCATCATTGTCAGCATATTTCGCCAAGCAAATGCAGCAAACTGAGGCGAACATGAGGAAAGCGCATGAAAATCCACAACATAGATCAGACAAAACTATATCCAAACCTACATTATAGACGAGGCATTCCTTGCATATGACAGCATGTCAATCATTAAGGCCCCATTTGGTATGCTGACGGAATGAGAAAAGAAAAGGAATGGGAATGTACCCAAAGGGAGTTTTTAAAATGAAAAGACTTAGATACCCTCATTATAAATATATTTTTTGGTGAAAATCGTTATAAACTATTTTATCTCAAATGAAAAAAAAAAGGCAAGAGAAAAGAAAAGGAAAGAGAAAGCTTTGATCAATGTGATGTCAGCCAAACGAAATAGCCATTCTGCCATTTTGTTGAGATAATAAAGACATATTCTATCACAACTCATTCTTAAGAGGGAGAAAGTACAATGTCAGAGTGTGAAGCAGACAAGCAAAAAAAGCATGATGAATGCGTGAATGGTGGTGGCTGACGTCGAAGACTGTGAAGGCATGAAAGAAGAACAGGAGGTAGAGCTTGAAAATTTGCTTTGCATGTGAGGGCAATTGGCTTCCCAGGAAGACAAAAAATTCCAACGGCCCCTCTCAAGAACCCAGATTCTGTCATCTAATGAAATTTTGCTATCCTAGGAACCATGTCTCCCACACACAAACCAAAAGGTAATTACTCTTTGCCTCTTCCTTTCCCTTTTCCAAGTCCAAAATCCATTAAACCAAATAGGCCCTAAGATTTCTAACTTACTATGGATGCAAAGCCCTATCCTTAAGATGCTATTCCCTCCTGTCCTAACTGCACGAGCTAGTTGAGAGGTTTGTTTTTATTTTAAATGTAAGACCTCAATCTCCTTTGTCTCCCACATTTATTTATTTTTTTTCCCAAACTACCCTTATGATTGCAGTGGTAGGGCTAGTTTCCAATGTAAATAAAAAAGGGGGGGGTATTTTTAGAGAAACTAATACATTTTTTACAAAAAACCTACTTAACTAATTTCCTTAATATGTGCAAATTCTATCTAGCTCCTACATTTAGGATCGGAGGAAGTAGCACTTAGGTTCTACTTATATTTATTATTCTTTCCTTCATAACATGGACAACTATATAACTTACAGCATCTTCTCCAGAATGGCTTGCTCCTTTCTGTCCCTGCAGCAAATATACCACCATCCACAGCTGTGTTGACATCCTGATTATCACTATTTTCAGTTTTCTTCAATTTGAACTTGTAAATTGGAAGGGCGTTAATAGACTCCACTGTCGCGCCTCTAGTTTGAGGAAAAATCCTCACGGATGCCCAGAACAGAAATTATGCAAGGTAGGCAGCACCAAATTGTCGCACATAGGATAAATGGCCATAGCATATCCAATGCAGCTAAAGGTAAGAAACACAATACATAACCTGCAAAGAAGCCCATAGTAGTTGAAGATAATCAGATATTGAAATATTACTGCAATTGTACAAAGTATCTGCTAAAGTACCTATACAATTTTGGAGCATCGGAAAGGAGAAGAATGGCCTCCAAAGATCCACACATTACCCACAACAAACCAAACTGCAAAGAAGCAATCTAAGGCCATTTTGAACTGATCTACTAATCCATTAAGCCTGCAATTTAGCAGAAAATTACAATAAAATCTCTGATCGGATAAAGGCTTTTTGTATTAGCTTGAATTTAGCATTCAATAAGCCAAGGAAATACTGCATGTAACTTTGACAGTTTTGAAAGAATTTTCCTTCTAAACAATCTCCAAATATACAAGGAGCACGTAAAATGCACATTGGCCTTAGTAGAGGTGTTTGCTTATAGCTGATTCATATGGTTCTAGACTTCAACATGAACTGAAGTGACTGACATCAAAAGGTAAATCTGAGTGGAATTAATCAGTATTTATGCATGAAACTGACCACAGCAAGAAGTTAAAAATCTTAGTTCAGTTCATCTGGCTTGAGCTCATCATTCATCTCATCAAATATAAATTCACTGAAATTATAGCATAGCTGATCTCTTCGGGCTCATCATTGTTGTAAAAAAGGAGGGCAGAAAGTACTAATAAGGCTTTTTTTCCGTGTTAACAGCAGAACAAAGGACCTATATGTACGTACCAAATTTAATCACATAATTCACCTAAATTCTACATTATTTTCACCAAATAATATAGTACTAATATAAAACAGGTGACAACATGGCAGGAACATTCTTTTTAACAACAAATCTCTACTAGAGACAGCAATATAAAAGAGGAAGAAGTAGAAAAAAAAATAAAACCAAAAGTTATAAACATGAATTGATATATCAATAACAAAAGGGATGAGAAAATTTTGAATTCCACGACTACTAAAATAAACATCAGCATACCTAGAAAAAAGGCTCCAGGAATCCTACTGTTTCTCGCAGCTGATTCTGTGACACGACTATTCTCCTCATCTGAAACATGAGCATCAGAGACTGCAGTATATGAGGTAGGCAATGGACGATCACTTCCAGAAGATCCTTGAGATTGTTGAGATGTATCTTGTTCAGTACTCTGATTACGGCTTCGATAACGCCAATATAGGATAGGAAGTGTGGCCACACAACCAGATGTATAGCCCACAATCCATGCAAATAATGGGGCTTGCGGATTTTCATTCCTCGACAATGACAAGACAACTATTGATGCTATGATCTGACCCACAGTGACAACAAGCTCACTGAAATCCATAGTCCAGAATTTAATGGATTCCTTCTTCGATGATGATACCCCTCACCTCTTGTTGATGAGGAATTTCTAGAGTTTAATCTAGATGAGGAAGATGTTTGATGAGCAGGGTCTCGTGTACCACTAGACCGTTGATCTTCATTGTGCATCAAATGTATTTCAGGAAGTTGAGCAACATGAGATGAGCTGGCTAAAGCATCACCATTCCTTGTGATGTCAATTACGTGCTGATGGTGGCTTTCAGACTGCTCCATCAGCAAAGGATAATGGTCGGTTTGGGGTTTCTATTAGGTTCTGGGGAGGTAACATCCATCTAAATCAGTCATCCAAAGTAAAAGGCAAAAAGGCATGGATTGGTAGTAACGAGGTCTCCAACCTGCACCTTCTCCTATTTTGCTTCCTGATCATGTACAATTCTGCTTAAATTTGCTGAAAGATGTGTGGCAACTGCCAAGATCCCTGGCAGCACTCTGCACTGTTAAGGATTGGCTTTTTATTATCCTGTTCAGGTAATCTCAAAGATTAAAAAAATTGTGCATCAAATTTCTATTACAGGTCAGAAACTGATTCCAACAACATTAGCGATATCCTGAAAGCAGGAAGGCAGCAGAAACTAAACGTCACTCTTCATTTTCTTTAAGGTCACAGATCGATCAGATTATTGTCAATACCAACTTACGAAAAAGCTTATGGAACCGCGTAACAAGAAAACAGTGGCAGTTGTACGATTGCCGCAACCTTATAAGTATAACGACAAAATTCATTTTCAATGTTACAGCATGAAGATCTTGTTCCAATATCAAAGGAATTTCGAAACAAGTACAAAGAAGGAAAAATAAAGTAGGAGTGTCATATACGACTTTTTTTTTTTTTGCGGTCCATGATACAGACGGCTTAATAGAATGAAAAGAAGAAGTCAAGTAATCACATAACCTGCATAGCCCGGAAGAACCCAATTGAAGCCAGGATAAACATGACATTAAGAACCAAATCTCCATGCTTCTTCTAGAATGACAGCGAATTAAAAAAAAAAAAAGGCCTAAATTAACAGAAACATACCCAATCGGAATTCAAGTACACCAATAACATGAATTTCAAAGCCGTAGATTCAACATTTCATCTATCTCACTCAGGCAACGCAGTGATCGAAATTCATCCAACAACTGACACCACAAAACCGATCAAATGGAACCGATAACTTAAATCACCAAAGAAACTCCCCAAACTGAGCAGGAAAACAGTTCAAAGATCAAAAACCATGAACCCCCATACATCCCAGGTAAATATTATCCACTTTACTTCACTGCAAGTAATTGAGACATTTGGCGTGAAGGAGAAAATCTGAACCTGATTGAGCTGAATTGAGTATCCTTGAAAACAGGGGTAATGATGTGAAGACAGAAGTGTAGAATACTTCGAAGCTCACTTCTGTTTCACTTTCTTAAAAATTTTCCATTTCCACAGACAAGAAGAATTGAACGTCAGCAGTTTCCTGCTTTATCGCTTACGCCAAAGGGTCTGAGAGCAAGCGCGACGAAGTGTGAACTGCGTCGTTGACTCCTAACCTCTCTAAACCGTTAGATACGTGGAAAATTACATCATCGTGAACCAATAATCGATCTCGCGGTGGAAAATCAACAGTAACATGTCTAAAAAGACGTGACCAATTTTTTTTCTTGGCCACAGAAGACTCAGGAATTTTGATACATAAATGAGGATAATATTTAATTTTTTAAAAAAAATTTATAATTAAGTTATTTTGTTTAATTCATTAAAATAATATTTTCTCTCTTTTTTTTTTTTCCTTTTTCAATAAACAAAATAAGTTTTCTCAACATAAGTCACCCTACATCAATTCATAAATAATCCGACATCTTAAATTTAAAAAAAAATAAATAAAATTTCTTTTAATTTATAAAATAATAATTTAATTATTTAAAATGTTATAATTTTAATGAAAATTTTAGAAACCTTTATATTAATAAATTTTTAAATTAAATATTTTATTTTATTTAAAAATAATAAGTCTCAATCATAACTTTCACTTAAAAACCATCATAATTTTTATTTTGTAAATCATAAAATTGAACAAAAAATTATAACTTATTAAATATAATTTTTGTTATTAAAAAATAAACTTCAATTACAATGTTTGTTTAAAGAATAACAATTTTTGTTATATGTAAATTGTAAAAGTTGAACAAGATAATATAATTTGTCACGCGTGCAATATTTATTATTAAAAAACAAGTACTTAAAATAACAAATTTCATTTACAATTTGTTTAAAAAATAATAATTTTTATTTAAAAAATTATAAGACTTGAATAAGAAATTATAACTTGTCAATAAGGGTAAAAATTATTTTTTTATTAAAATTTATTGACAAAGAAGTATTTAAAGGTTTTAATGAAATGATAATCTCTCTCTCTCTCTCTCTCTCTCTCTCTCTCTCTTCTCTCTCTCTCTCTCTCTCTCTCTCTCTCTCTCTCTCTCTCCTCTCTCTCCTCTCTCTCTCTCTCTCTCTCTCTGTGTTTTTTTTTTCTTTTTTATATTGTCCATGGACAATTCATTAATATCTTATTTTGATATTGTTCACTTATTTGTTTTATATTTATTTCATGTGATAACAATATTTTCATACAAAGAATTATATTTCTTTCATTATTTTATCTAGTTTATGATAGCAGGAGAATAAATTATAAGCCAAGATAGGCATTTAATTTAACTTGGCAAATTATTAAATCAGCTTATTTTAAAATTTTGAATTCAAGTATTGAAATCTATAACCGTGTTAAAAATAAATATATCAAATGTATTTTCAAGTTACTTATAAGTTATTTCTCTCATTTCAAATTATATGTACTTTTAAAAGAGATTTATTAGTGCTCTTTTCGTCCTTATTATATGACACCTTCAACTGTTTCATTTGTATTAAAAAAAATTTAAATTTTGTTGTATTATAAAAAAGTAATATATACTTTCATTTTTATCTTTAATTTTAAATAATATATAATTATATTAAATACCTTCACAGATTAAAAAGGAGTGAAATTTAAAAAATAGTTTAATCATTATAAAGTATCCTATATTTTGAACTAAAAAGCATTTTTAGGATATGTTTTATAAGTAAGATAGGAGGAAGTATGTGATATTTTATTTAAAAATATTTTATAATTTGAGATAAAAAACATCTTATGACATCAGATAATAGGAGTTTAAATTAATTTGGACAAGAAATATAAAAAAAAAAAATTGTCATCCAATCTCAGATCTCGGACTCCGGCATATTATCAGCCACTGAAAAGCCACCAATATTATAAATGTATATTGGAATTTGAGTCACATAAAATGTAAAACACAATAATGTGAACAATTGCAAGAAAAATAGAATTAGTTAGTAACAGGATAATATATGTAATAAACATGAATAAAGATATAATTCTGGACGAATGCGCACATTTGCTTTTATTAAAATTTTAACAAATGGATTTTTTTATTTCGTCTTTTTGACGGCGAAAAATTAGTATATTTAAATTCTGGTACTCTGGCGCCACGACCCCACAAAAAAATCGCAAAGCAACATTTGGCAAAAAATCGCAATTCTAAATTTAAAAAAAAAATCAAATATTACGATCATTATTTTAATGACAGGTATCTCAGCTGTCTGAAAACTGAAAACATAATTCAATTCATTAACTCTATTAAAATTATTTTGTAAAATTACAAAATAATTTTTATCAGTTGAAAAATTAGTTAAATGTTAAGTATAGAGGTTATAGGGAGCTTGCTGTTGTACATAATCATATACAAATGTGTAAAATTCAATATATATATAATAATTTTTTATAAAAAATATATTATTTAATTATGATCGTCAAATTGATTAGTCATATAAACTAATAATTTTTATAATTATATTTATATTTTTGGGAAATGGCATTAATGACCTTACGAACAGAGTTTATTTCACTTAGAGTCTAAATGAATCTGAAATTGCTCTGCAGGCCTTGAGGCATCAAGTGCAATATTTTTTTAGAGCGAAAATACTATTTTGCCCTTATGGACAAAAATGAAATCCAACGCAGAGAAAGAATGACAGACGTGGGGATGGGTATTCAGCTGGAGAATGAGAAGGTTTATGATCTCTAATGGAGAGGAGTAACTTTCAAAGTGCATAAATTTTAAAATCTCTACATCTTAAGCAGTGCTTTGATGATTTCATGATCTGAGGTGGAGGTTTCCTGGTTTCTAACGTGTTGCAGCAGAAATGAGCTGAGATTTTTATTGTTCTTGCTGTAGAAATGAGAGGCATCCATTATTGCTGCATAAATCATTTAAGGGTAAAAATAATTTAAGGTTTTTCATTACTGCATGTGAGTTACTGGTGAAGTGGTGACAGAGATTATTTCACTCATTTAATATGTAGTAGTTCATTTAATGGAAACATTTAAGGGGGGTCTTACATGAGATGGTAGGATGCATATGAGATGGACTTTTTATTGTATAAAATTAAATGTGATATTGTTGAAATTGAAATTTTATTTGTGATTCTACTGCTAATATGAGGTAAAGATTGCTGAACCATTTTGGCCATAAAAATTTTAGAGTGGGTTAGTTGTTGCACAATAATGATGGTTGATTTGTTTATATTGGAGTTTTACGCGTGAACTGGATAAAATATGATCCAATATGAAGAAAATCTTTCACAAAAATGTTGGAGTATTGTTGTGTAAAAATAAACTTTCAGCTGTTTTTTTTTTTTTTTGACATTGAGATGTGCATTATGTTAAGTATAATCTAATGATAAATTGGAATCACATGACTTTCAAGTGAGAATATATGAATTTCGTGTTGTACATAATGGTTATTATGTTGTGCCATGTTTGCCTACCTTGAGCATTCCTTTTGTTAAACTTAGCCTAATGATAAATTAAAATAACATGGACTTTCAGGTGAGAATATATGAACCTTATATTGTGCATAGTGGATATTGTGTTATATATGATTTGCCTACTTGTGCAATTTCTTGAGGAAGCCTAACCTACTGATATAAGCTAAAGGTTGCTAAATCATTAAGTTAATTCAGGTGAAAATATATGAACTCTGTGTTGTGCATAGTAGATATTATGTTATGTCATATTTTCCTAACTTGAGAGCATTCCATTGAAGCTTAATCTAATGATAAATTTGAATAACATGGACTTTTAGATGAATATATGAACCTTGTGTTGTCTATATTAGATATTGTGTTATACATTATTTGCTTACTTGTGCAATTTGTTATCAAAGCCTGAACTACTGATAGAAGCTAAAGGTTGCTGAACCATTAAGTTGGTTATGAAAGTTTTAGAATGGATTAGTTGTTGTACAATATCTATGGTTGACCTGTTAATATTGAATTTTGACATGTGAATTGAATATAATATGACTCCTAATGTGAAGAAAATCTGCTGTCAAAGACATTAGAGTATCTGTTGTATGAAAATGAACTTTGAATTGTTTATGTTGAACTTTGTGTTATGTAAAATAAAAGTTAGGCTTCTGTATGTGAACATTTACCTAGATTGATTAATTTCTTCATTGCAGGTTAATATAAAAGATGGAAAGTAGTTCTTGAGAAAAATTATTTTGTTTCTTCCACTGTGGCAGTGAATTTTTGAGGAGTATTGATAGTGGTATGAAGCATGAGGGTGAAAATGTAATTACAAGAACCATAACAAAAGGAATGAAATATACAGAGCTAAGATCATTTTTATCTTTAGAAGTTTTCCATGGTGATAATGAAAATGACATAAAGTTCACTATTGAGATTGATTCAAGCTCATAGATCTCCTTGATGATGTTAGAGTTGAACAATTGTTTGAATATAATAAAAGAGTTGCTCATGTGTATGTTGCTAGACGGGCTGTACTTGAAGATGATCTTGAAGAGTAAGTACTGACATTCATGTTATTTGGGTCAAAAAATGCATTGTTAGGAATACTGGATTATATATTGGTGCAAACATGAATATTTACTTGTTTATATTGAATAGTTAGTTGTGTAAAATACAAGTTATTAATACATAGCACTAATAATGTGGTAACTTTTGTAAATGCAGGATAGATCAGTTTTTACCATTTTCATATGGAAGTTCGCTATCTCCTCAGCATTGAGATATTGATTTGGAAGGCTTCAGCTTACGCAACTCTAGAGGAAGCATTCCAACAGAAAGTGGAGAAGATAATTTAGCTATCCAATGTATTCTTATCCCTATTCCAGAGATGAATGCTAGCAAATGGAAGGATTTTCTTGTTGGAGTAGGACAAACTTTTGCTCATGCTATGGCATTTAGGAAGGCATTATACAAGTATAACCTAGCGCACAAGTTCAGATACAAATTTCTAAAGAACAAATCAGGCCAAGTTGTTGTGAATTGTGCAGTTGAGAGATGTCCATGGTATATTGGAGCATACAAGTTAGGTGGAAAAGATAATAGTTTCTTAAGTATAAGAACTTTCAAGGATCAACATCTTCATTTTGCA